AAAGTCTGTAAGCTCTACGTCTAAAACAGATGTTCACCAAAGGGAAATATGAACATATTGACTATTAATGGCTTCAAATGTAATGAATTCCCTGACAACATGTCAGTGTTTTTACCAATAAAAACACAATGAGTGTGTATGTGTGTGTGTGCTTGATGAAGTAAAACAGTGACAGTAGATCATACTGTTATAGTATCCACTGATGGTGATTGACCTCATTTGCTTCATTTGCCAAAAAATATTTTTATCCACCTTTTGGAAAGCGTCGGTTGCTAATTTTGGACCGTGACTATACAGCTGTCGTTCCACAGATTCTCTGAGACCGCAGCGCCCTCTCTCCCCCCATTGTAGGGAATGAACCCACGGCCCAAGCCTGAACATCTTCAGCACTGGGTCTAATTTTAGTCACATTGCTCAGATTCGATTCCTGGACTGCGCCGAGGACTGAGATGCATCAGCATTTTCTGAGCCGCTCCGACACCTCAGGGTCTGAACAACGCATCGCGATAATGTGACAAGTAGCAAAAGTGACCTTGATGCCATTAGCTCGTCATTATTTTTATATAGGAGAGCTGCTGAAACATAATTGTATATAGTGTCACGGAGTACAGGTTGGTGCTAAAACTGTGGCCTCGTACTACCGACTGATCTTCCTGGGAAAGCCAGACAGTAAGCTGATCAGAACCTGTGTGAGGGAGAAGCCTTTAAAGAGGTGTGAGGAGAGTGCATGTCAGGTGAAAAGTCACATTTCACACAGCTGACAACTGTGTGAGTCAGCCGTGAAAAGGCAGCGGCCATTCCCTGGGTCTGAATAGAAGCAACAATACAGAAGGAAAAGAAAAGCCCACTGTCTGTTCCCGAACACAGTGGCAGTGAAAGGGGAGTCAAAGTTCCGGAGAAAAAAACGACGGGGAGATGGACAGTGAACAAGCTCGACGTCTGCTGCCTATGAGTCGATCCATTGTGAGGCACACAACACTCAGCTCATATTCCCAGTGAATCAGGGAAGTCAGCTGCCACCACCACCTCAAGGCACAGGGCCAGTCTAGCACAGGACCGCAGACATGTGACCAGCTGTCTCACACAACCGCGGCCACTGTGGAGCATCTCGCCAGGACGTGACCGGTGACGGCCAGCTCTCAGATAGGTTTTCTTCAGCGCATTAACTTGTAAACATGTTTGGACAAGTTTTCTCAGTTTATTCAGCTCGGACAGATGAACTACTGCTGCGCCATAGGAGGAGCAGAGGTGGCAGGTGTTGGTAAATCTATACATGACTGCAACACGTGATTTACAGCCTGCTGTCAGGAGGGCGCAGTGACATCAATACTGCAGCAGGAGTTTGTCTCGGGCCTGGCTGAGGGCACCGATATAACGCTTCTCTTCTGTGCACCCCCGTCTACTGACAGCCATACACAACACTACACATGCAGCTGTCTAAATATTACTTCTCCCTATTTCTCCTCCTGCGCCTCTGCTCTTCTTTGCTCGCCTTTTTCCGTCCTCCTCCTGTAACGGCACGGACGGATGAGTTAAAGCAGGATCAACTGTTCCAATGCCGCCACTGACACGGGCCGTCCGCATTTGGTGCACTGTTGTCCCAGGCAGAGTGGCAAAGGGTCGGGAATAACTCATCTATGAGCTATATCTGGCGGCGCAGCTGCGGTACCAATTATCTCACAGCTCACCACTAGTAGACTTTTCTAAATGTAAATAATATTATGTACGAGGCTCTGCGGCAGGTAGCAGTCGCTTTTTTGGCAAGTTCGTCACTAAATCACTGCGCGCAATTAGGCTTTTAAGGCAATTTATACAAGAAGCCAGACTAAAGCTAATCTCATAAAAGGACAAACAGAGCCATTAAAAGTCCTCTGCTCTTTAGTTCATTACTGCCTCAGCTTGCTCTCCTTATGCTAAGAGTCCCCAGGTGCATGAATGTTTCATGGCCACCCTGCTGCCTGTTTCCCCTTCGCTCGGATTCATCCTTTCTCCATCCTCCCCGAGGAAGCACAAACTCCGCTGTCAATTGCACTCACTTAAACTCTGCTACCGTCATCAGCAGCCATTAGTTGGGGAGGGAGGACGCGGTATATAAGACAGCTGTTTTGCCGTGATGACTCAATCATCGCCTTCAGTGGGATTAGCATCTGTATCACCCTGCTAATCATCTCCTTTGAACCCAAACAAGTCTGAAATTGACAACTATCAGCCTGTCGGACACAAATTCCTCAGCTTCGGGAAAGAGCCGTCCTCACTCTGAACCTTTCAATCATGTCAAAGTGCGTGAAGAGATACATTTTTCATATCTTCTGATTTTTGAGCTCAGCTTTTGAAAGGCATAAAGGAACTAATTATTAATTTCACAGTTTGTCAAGGTGACACAATGCAGGAAATCCTGAAAAATTTGCTTTGCTTAACTCGCCGTAGTTGATTACCTCACAGCTATGAATGAAATTACTGATGTAAAAGTAACTAAGAGTGATCAGGGTTTAAAAAATAAAACATCGCTGAAACTGTCAGTCCCCAAAACACTGCCTAAATTTGGACATTACTGAGATTTGTTTTGTCCTTCTGTCAACAGATTTTTCATCCTTTGACTGCAGCTTGGTGAACGTTGATAACATTTCTGTTCTTGCCTTGTGTTAATGTGTGGCTTTGAATACATTTTCTTAAAGGGTACGGCAGTCAGATTAGCTGCTGTGCTACTTTAAGGCCCTGCGGCACCATCATTAGCTTAACATAGACATATTAGTAATAGAACATTAAGAGGAGACAGTGTAGGTCTTGGTCGCATTTTCCGACAACAGTGCAGCGACCTAATAAGCCCCCAGTAACTGCTTTCACTGACAATGGGAAATACAGTGATATGGCAGCATTAGGCAGAAGAAAGGCTCGTTAATGTGCTTTTATTTTATGTAGCACCATCGAGGTATAGACCATTCTGCAGCCAACAGTAATTCAGTGCCAAGTCTTCTTAAGACATATTACGCCATGTCATTAATTAATCTGTTGGCTTGTGAAGTGGAGCTTATTCAGTCCATTCATCACCAACAGGAAATTGACAAGTTACCCGTGGATGGAATGTCAAATGAAAATCAGCTGGAAATTTTTCACAATGAAGCAAAGGGATACTACAATACACGTTTCCATGACTATGGTGTACTATACTTAATGTAAAATAAAGAAAAAACTGATACCCTTATAATACCTGGTAATAATCACAAACCTTAATTTGTCTGGGAAATACACAAACTGTATGTGTTGTTCTGACCTCATTTGTAATGTGCTTTTCTTTTAAATCAACATTTATTATTTATAAAATACAATAACAGTGTGTTGTAAATACATATTTGGCCTATAAATTAAACCTTTTTTTAAAGGAGAGGGTTCTACCAGTGTATGATAGAACAAACTATAGGCAGAGGAGACTTTAAACATCCAAAGGGTCTCGGGACAGGGAAGGAAAGTAAATCTTGTTCCTTAATCATTTCCCACTGTCATATGTCAACGCAGACCATTAGAGCAGGACGTGGAGAACATCTGTCCTAAACACACTGACACTGTGTACCACCGCAGTCACCCTGTCAATCAAAACACGTTCTGGCATGTTGCCGGCCATGACCAGCAGCTGTGATTGCTTTTGAAGATGCGTGCCTGTGATTACTTGAGGCACAGACACGAGCATGTGCATCTCCATTTATATCTGTCTATGGTAAAGAAGACATGGTGCCGGGTCTATTTTTAGTCCAGAACACTGAGTCCTGGGACAAATGACCAGGTCACCATCAGCAGCAGTAGTGAGTGCCGTGATAGCTCCGGCTCTCCTCGCTGACCTCGACCATCCAGCTCCCTTGTCAGTGGGAGAGACTTACAAGATTCCAAGGCAGCAGTTAAAGGAGTCTATCTGCCAAAAAGAGGCACTTTCTTGATGAATGCCATGTTCATCCACCTCTTTCTCTCCCTGTGTGACTAATGGGCTGATAATTCAGCTGTCACCTTGGCACGTTATCTCCCACTTTCTCATGGGAAGAATACCACCCCAGAACATCTCCGCCACAGTCTCAGCGCAGACTTCATTTTTGCCAGTGATTTTCAAAGCTGCTTTACAAGTAAAGCTCTTGTGCCAAAAACAACTTGTGATCAGATAGTGGGGTAAAAGAAAACCTTGTGAAAGTACACCACTGAGGAAAAGATAAGATGGTGGTTGGGGAGGTTTTAAGTTGGCAACCACTGTTCAAGTTCTTTCTTGTCATGCTCAGTTAGTCACCCAGGGAACTTTACACTCATCAGATGGTCATCCTAGGTGGACCTCAGAGGAAACACTGACACCAAATCATCATCAATATTCATCCTTCTTCTTCTTTCTGTGTCATACTTAATGATATTTTTGCATTCTGAAAAAAATATTAAACGCCTCAAAAAATTGTGAATGTGATTGGATGGAGATTTGATTCTGATGTAATAATGAGAATTACTTGCATTAGAAATATGAATTACATAAACTAAATTAAGGGACTGTCTTAACTGATAGTACAGCGAGTATGCAGTTTATCTTGCGGCTCACCTCACCAATAATTAAACATTGATGAAGAGCACGACCACTGCACAGCCCTGTTTTTCTAATTTTCACTTCACCCACAGACTTTCTCCTAAGCAAAACATGCTGTTTTTCCCTTTGAAAAATCATTAGTACAACGATTACAAATCTCGCCCTTCTTCAGCCCCTTTATCTCAAACTAACTGCAGAAGCTGTGCCATCAATGTAATGAACAAAGCCCGAATTCTGTAGAGAAAATGCAATTAAAAACACAGTATTTATACTGAGGCAATGCGTATGAATCCAGAGTAACCAGGGAAACATTCTGTGTCAACTTCTCAAGATGATAAAGTAATTTATTAAATTAGTTCATCCTGTGTATATGCACAGTATATATTATGCATATACACATATATACATATATATATAAATGATACTAATGAAAAGATGAAAAAACACTTACAGGCTTCTGTGTTGCACCATTCCTTGGTAAGGCACATGACCACTGACCAGAAGAGAGGAGTGACTCCATGTGACCAAGTCCACTAGTCTCCTTTATCCCTTAATGCTGATAATTAAACTTTTCAGGTTACTTTGTGTAGATATGAAGTATATAATGTATAATGTTATGAAAAACACATACATATTGAAGTTGTTAAATGCCTTGTATTTGTCATGTGATTTGTTGGGTTGAAAAAAATTAATCACACACAGTATTGACATTGGAATCAAAATCATTTGCCAAAAAAGTAATCAGTATCTTATCCAATCAAACATTCTGGTCCCAGCCATCGTAGTCCTGATCTCCAAACTACTTGGACACTCCAGTGTTGAATCACTCCATGCATGTCAGGATATGCCTTTAGTTTCTGTCCTTTTAAGCACCTGCTGGAGGAAACACTTGTGTACGGACACTAATCACTTTTATCAGTTTAACAGCTTGTCATTTAGACCCCTGGGTGTTTGGGCTGAATGATAAACCCTCGCTGCACGGCCATGTACTTGTTTAATAAAGTACCTCCACTTGACACCACACTGTCGGGTACAACATAAGACCAGAGACTGTGTCTAGACTGTGCCAAGCTGCTGAATGATTCCAGCATTTTCATGAAAAAAATCACACAAATTCAACAGCAGTGACTTCACCTAGAGGAGCACCTACATAGGTAACTGACAATAATCCCACTGATAGACTTAAATGCTGTGAAACCTAGAGTGAAGTGGCGGGCTTTGCTCTCTTTGTTTGCCTGCGAAAGGGGAGGTGGACATGTGTGCCGAGCCAGAGCCTCTATCCTTCCTGTTCAGTTACCAGAGGCCTCACACTTATCACATCCAGATCTCACAAGAACAGAGAGAGGGAGACCACTGACAGGAAGGGACTTTTTTTTTTCTTTCCCTCTAACCCCCCTCTTCCTTTTTTCCACTAGCGAGGTTAACAGAATGTCTGCAACCTTCACATTTCACAGTGGAAAGCAATTATTCATCAGACCGTACCGTGGCTTTACAAACTCATACACCAACCAGGCACATTTACAGCAGTTAAAGTGACAAATTGTTCTATTGTTTTTAAAACAAAAAATAAACAAAAGTGTTTAATTTCTTCCCTGTACTTGGTCTATCAAACAAAGCCACAGTTACGACCACATCACTATTTGACTATTTTATATGTGGCTATCAACCGTAGCAGTTACAGCGCTCTGACATTTTTCTTTGACTGCAGCTTTTCCATCACACGCCGCTTTATTTCTCCTGCATAAAAGACAACCCCGCGTCGACACTGAGAGGGAACAGATCTGTCATCGAAAGCACGAGAGAGAGAGAGAGACGGAGAGAGAGCTGACTGTGAGGCACTCATGTCATATTCCTGTTTGTGTCACATCCCGCTCGTTTCCCTGGCTCTGGCTGTCTACCTAGCATGACATTTCCACAATAATCACTGGGGTTTATCCCACTCAGCTGTGTGCAAGGCAAATGTTTGTCAGGACACTGTATTCTTCAGCGTTCACACTGCTCTAATCAAGATTAACCACTCTTATCTGGTCGGGGGCTTGGGTGTGTGTGTGTGTGTGTGGCTCTGGCTGTCCCAATTCATAAGCTATATTGTATAATACAGTGGCAGAACCAATTACATTACATTTCCTCTACATAATTATATCCCCTTTAGTGGAGAGTACGCTAAGCTACATATTGCGTAAAGGATAAAGTACCAGCTTTGTGGTGAAGCCCATAGTCATGACCTTGTGTACACATCTGTCTCGAAACATATGGACACAAAAGACGAAGAAAAAAAAAACCCACTACCAACACAACATCTCAGCACTTTGTTACACAGACCCCCACCCCCCACCCACCCACCCCCC